GAAGCTATTCACCATCAGACAAATGAGCCACCTTCAGACAAGGAGTTAACTCTGGGAAGACACAGTAAGCACCTGCACCTTTAGCCCAGGTCTCTGCTGGGCAGAACTATGACATTTCTAACCATTTCTTAGTGGGGTCTTACATTTAGGGTAACCCAATGGTTTTGTTATCCAAACAAGGACACTTCTGACAGGATGCTATTAATACCCACATCTGGACCCCAGGAGTCCCTGGGAATACCCCAGGTAAACTAGTACGTGTGCTTATCATACTTAAGTATGTCTGTGAAGGAAAGTCAATGAAGATCTCAACATGCACCAGGACAAGGGCAGACGGCCCAGGTAGGCCACGCATGAGGTCAGTTTTGTTTGTCACATTGACCTGGGAACATTCTTCTTCTTCTTCTTCTTCTTCTTCTTCTTCTTTTTTTTTCTTATCATAGCTTTATTTCTCTTCTGTTGTCTCAGTGTCCAAATACATCCGGCACAGTGCTGCATTGGGGCGGCATATAAAAGCATCAGTTCCGTCCCCCAACTCTGTTAACTGTTCCAATGAAGACACACAAGGATAATGGTCTTTTAACACGTCGGGCAATTTAGAAGTCTTGTCTTGAAGTCGCTGAGAACATCCAACTGGTGTTAGAAACTTGAGCTCTTTGAATGTAGAATTTATTTCGTCAAACTGCGTTTTCTTTTTTACACTTTGCAAGTGTGGTGTAGTAGACACATGATATTTAATTAAGCAGCCCTCCCTAGTTTCTGTGTTGGGGGTTTTAACATCATTGGTTGGATCTTTTGTTTTGTGTACTTGCTCTTTTTTACAATCTTGAAATACCACATTTCTATGATGTTGATTTTCCATTTCAGGTTTTTCTGACTCTCGATTAACACCCATATCTTCAATGTTGACTTCTTGGATTTTTTCCTTCGTTGCACAAGCCTCCTCAAAAGACAAAGATAATATTTTCAATAGAACTTGTGAGTGGTTCGATACGTGCAAGGCGTATCCAATACTTAAGAAGTTTTTCGGCACCTGGAATATTTTTAATCAGGTCATTCAGTGTGTTTAATACTTCTTCTTTGGGGCATCCCTCATTAATCAGGTTTAGGCATTCAGAAAATGTCTTGTTTACTTTTTCAGTAAATAATCTTTGTTCATCTTCTTCTGCCAGGGTAGTCCAAAACGACCCAACTGGTTTTTCATTCTGTCCTTCAGGTTCAGGCTGGGTTATTACTGAGCTAGGAGGCCTTTTCAATATTTTTCCTTTGCTAGCTCTCCACTCACTCAGATGAGCTTTTCTTTCTTCTACGGTTTCTTTGGGCTGAGTCCTTCTATTGTTGATAGTTGCTTTTGCTATAGTATGCCTGCACTGGTCAACGGTTTTTGACTTTTCTATCTGTTTGATATCAGAAGATGAAGCAGGCCTGGCTATCATTTCAGATGTGATGCTTCTTGATACCGTCTTATTTCTTTTTACTTCCTGAGAAGAAATGGTTTTGACACTAGATAAAACTGTATTTAATTGTAGTAATTCTTTCTCATGGGACCCTTTCCGACCTGTAACATTGGCAATGCCTTTTTTCAGGGAGTCCTGGGTATTATGAGTATTACTGTGGTGACTTCTAATAGGAGGACGTAAAAGTTGTTCATTCTGAGAGGTAGCCCTCAAAAATTTAGTCGTAGTCATCATTTTTGAGGCTCTGTGACTTTTTGCTGTTATACTGCTGGTGTCTATAGGCTGAAGTTTTGTGGCCTTAGAGATAGGAGCTGAAAGTCTCTTTGTTATTGCAGAATGCTCATCTTTGACTTGTACAGGTTTTCTAAATGAATGAGCCTTAGATTGAACAATTTGGCCACGATATGATCCAAGCACAGGTTTCTTGAGCACGTTAGCATCTTGCTTTGGTTTTTCTGTAGTCACTTATTTCTTTTTTTTTATTGTTTTTAATGTGAAACGCTTGGCTTAATGTCATACGTTGACCTTGGCAATCATTTGTAATTGGTAACAACTGCAGAGTTTGATTATTCTCCAAGTTATAT